CACCAGTCACACAAGTCAAGTTGTGCAAGCATGCTGCCTTGCCACTCACACAAGGGCTGCAAGCACCATCATCTGGGCCGCTAAGCCGCAAACATTGGGGACTGCTGCACTATGGTTATTTGTGCAACCCCGCTATACCGATAGTCCTCAAGTTATTACCACAATTTGGATCAGAACTTATGTTGCTAAGTGAGTTGTTGTTAAGTGAATTAAGCCTGATTTTATTACCTTTTTGCCATGGTTAGTATATCACCATGGTCATTAAGTGAGGCACACTGTCATTAAATGAATCTGGCTTCGCCCATTGACTTTGCTTGTTGGAAGTCTTCCTGGGAAGGTCACAAATGGTAATTCTATGAACCTGGGATGCTGCAACCATCATCAATCCATGCCAGGGGCCAAGGGACCAGATTTTGAACATGTGATTTCAGGCAGTCGTAAGTGTGAGAACTAGTCATAAGCCACTTTTCTCAGTGTTGCATTAACTTCACATGGTGATCAAATGAATGGCTGTAAGTTGAGGATTGCATGAAATATATTAGTAGGGGCAGAGGGAACAACAGGGAAAGGGAACACTTTCATTTTACAGTACAGTTTAGATTAAGTTACAGTAGTGCCAAAATTGTGGAAACCTTTTGGGAAAAGTGTATTTTCTAAAACTAGCTAATAACACCACTTTTTTTGGAGTAGTACCATAAAATTATATATCAATGGAAAGATAATTTAATCAAGAATGTAATGCAATAACTTTTATGAAGGATTTGATATTGGAATAGCAGTTGCAGTATAAAGAAGAAAAGTGAAATGGAGAAAAAATGATATATATAAAAATTATCACCATAGAAAAAAAGAGATATACAAAAATTATCACCATGTCAATTAATAGTTGGGTAACCTTTAGCATGAATTACGGCCTTATAATGTCTTCCCATGGAGTGAACCAAGTCTTTTAGTTTTGCAGCTGTTCTAATGTGAAACCAAGATTGAATGATTGCTTCTATCAACTGGGTTTTATTGCTGGGTCGCTTCTCACTAACAAGTTTCTTTAGTCGGTTCCATAGATTTTCAATTGGGTTAAGGTCTGGGCTATTCCCAGGCCATTCCAGCAGTGGAATATGATTATCTTGAAACTCCAAAAAAAAAAAAAAGTGGTGTTATTAGCCATCAAACCTCAAAAATACATTTTTCCCAAAAGGTTTCCACAATTTTGGCCACTACTGTATGTCATAAACACAGTGTTGATATCCAAGGTAAATTAGTCTCAAAGGTGTTTTTTTCTTCAAAAGGCCAATGGACTGGGTTTTTTTTTCCTTGAGGAAGAAGAAAACATTTTGCTTCTCACCCAAGAAGCTTCATCAGTTCTGATTCAGAATATGATGAAGTTTCTTGAATGAAAGCACCTTTGAGACAACTATGATCTGGATGATTGAGAATCTCCACAGACAAGGTAATTAGTATTGTAGGCATAATATTGGTCTGCCCTTGAGTAGCATGCATGGATGTTAATTTGTTCTAAAACCTGCTGCTAAAAAGTTGATTGGTACTAAGTTAAGGAACTCTGATATACCATCCCCTTCTTTGAATTGGCACGATCCACATTTTTGAGTGTAGGCATACTACTCCAATGCTAACTATGGAGGCAGAAAGGGTAGATCACCACTGAATGAACCAGATCGCAGCATATCCAAACATCAGGATCTTTGTAGAATTGGAAAAACAGGGTAGCTAATCTCTTGAATTAAAAATAACGGGGCTGGATAGATCAATGGTACATTTGGTTTTTTATTGTGGAATTAAATATGATCTCGCATCCACTTACAAACATACTATGATCTGGGTTTTTTTTAAACACAATATTTTTAACATATCGTTACTTCAAATTGAGCAAGCTTTTATGACGAATCCATCTAAATCTTCTGGAACGTCAAAGGGCAACTAGCATTTTGTAAAGAATGAACCCAATATTGCAAAGTTTTTTTCTATATCTAGATTGCCCTTGATCGAGAAATACATTTTTTGCGCAAATAAACTGATTGCACAAAATGGCCTTAATTTGTGTACTGAAAGGGTTGCAACTATGTTCTTTTTAAAAAAAAAAAAAAAGATGAAAGTTGTTCTATCAGAAGCTCTTTTACTAATCAAGCATTCTGATGAATTAATCTCCTGCATTTCAAATTTATATGACAATTTCCATATGGTGGAACCTTAAGGAAATCATTTGGAGGGCTCTCTGCACATTCATTAACTACTGTGAGCATCTGTATTTTAACTGCTTTAAAATACCAAAGCAAATGAATAATTTTTGGGGGGGCGGTGGGGGGAGAGGGAAAGTGCCTTTAAATATATATATAAATATACAATCATGTATTTCTTTCCTTCCTTCCTTCCTTCCTTCCTTCCTTCCTTCCTTCCTTCCTTCCTTCCTTCCTTCCTCTCCCCCTCCCTTTTTTTTTTATAAAGCAGAAATTATTCGCATTCTAATCTAATTCAATTGTTTGGTGGACTTTTTGATGGAGCCTTCCAATCTTTGGTTCATGTTGCGTGTTCATTGTTTACACGGAAGGAGTTTTAAGAACAACAAATCTTTCAGTTCTTGCTTTGTAAAGGTTATAGTATACATGTCAAAGCGTAGTTTAAATTTTTTTTCCTGTATTGTGAAGAAGTAGTTAACACTGGCTATTACATTTGCTTTTGTACACTGGTTCACTTAAGAGAATAGAATAGAATAGAATTCTTTATTGGCCAAGTGTGATTGGACACGCAAGGAATTTGCCTTGGTGCGTATGCTCTCAGTGTACATAAAATAAAAGATACATTTGTCAGGAATCATAAGGTACAACACTTAATGATAGTCATAGGGAACAAATAAGCAATCATATTAGGAAATCATGTTAGGAAACAGTCAATTTAAGAGAACATAAAAATATCACTAGGAAAGAATAGTAGAAAACAGCAAGAGAAATGTACCAACAGGTAGTCCTTGACTGTTAAAATTGTTTGTGTAATGATTGTTCAAAGTTACAACAGCAGTGAAAAAAGTAACTTATGACTGTTTTTCGCACTTACAACCATTGCATCATCCCCATGGTCACGTGATCAAAATTCAGATGCTTGGCAACTGACTCAAATTTATGACGATTGCAGTGTCCCAGAATCATGGGGTCCCCTTCTGCGACCTTCTGACAAGCAAAGTCAATGAGGAAGCTAGATTCATCTAAGAACCATGTTACTAACTGAACAGCTGCAGTGATTCACTTAACAACTGTGGCAAGAAAGGTCATAAAGTGGGGCAAAATTTACTTAACAAATGTCTTACTTAACAACATACATTTGAGGCTCAGTTGAGGTCCTAAGTCGAGGACTACCTGTATTCATAAAAATAAAATTAGCGATTGCGTTGAGATTTTAGATCAACCTCTCAGGGGCTGCCACAAAGAAGAGGGAATCAAGCTATTCTCCAAAACACCTGAAGGCAGGACAAGAAGCGATGGATGGAAAACTAATCAAGGAGAGAAGCAACTTAGAACTAAGGAGAAATTTCCCAACAGTTAGAACAATTAATCAGTGGAACAACTTGCCTCCAGAAGTTGTAAATGCTCCAACATTGGAAATTTTTAAGAAGAGATTGGATAACCATTTGTCTGAAGTGGTGGCCTAAGCAGGGGGTTGGACTAGAAGACCTCCAAGGTCCCTTCCAATTCTTGTTATTCTATTCTATCCTATTCTAAAATAATGTCTCGGAACAATCCCAAGCATAAAAACAGACTCTTGATTTTGGTAAAATTTTAGATTAGTCAGATGATGAAGCTGAAATTACAGCTAAAATTGGCTTGACAAGTTAACACGTTAACTTCCTAATTCATGCTTCGAGGATAGTATGATAGCTTCTAATAGTTAAAATTGGCCAAAGTGTATTGGCAGAGTGGGATTTTAGCTTATTCCAATCTTAACAAGTCCCAAATAGAAATTGCTACAACATGATAGCCATTTAGAATTGGCAGTATTGGGCTTGACACAGCAGTTTGGCTCTGTGGACTGAATCCAGATTAAATTAGTTTAATTTGAGTCCCACTGAAATTAATGGACCAAGGTAATGATGATTTAACTAATGCCCCATTGATTTCAGTGTGAACTATATGCAACTAAGCTAAGATGGATTTAACCCAATATTCAGCAGATCCATATGTGACATATGCAGCTAAATTCATAGAGGGACTCTAAGGGATTTCCATCTAATTTTCCATGCAATTACCATCATTTATTCAAATGCCATGATTATTTGATGAACCCATGGCCATCTCCATTCAGGATGAGATACAAAATTATAACTATTTTATCCTTATAAGCTAAATGAAAATGTTATGGTATTCGTATGAGAATGAACCATATCCTTCTTTGGAATATGTTTCACAATTTAGGAATAAACTATTATATCGTAGAAAATTTTCAGAGTAGAAACTATGCAAAAAAAAAAGTATCTTTTCATTGAAAATATTAATTTTTGATTTAAAAAACATTATGAAAAACAGTGATTCTGCAAATGAGTATATTGTGTACAATTCTGTGTAGCATTCATTTGTTCTATCGTCTCAAGCATTCTGAAGGGTTATCATGTTGACAACATTGTTGTACCTGAAAATACGCCCTAGAAGCAGGAATACTTTATTTGGCCAGTTGAAATTTTTTCAAGTGAGCTAATATCCATATGATCATGTAATTTTAATGGGCTTAATAGGATCTCAGATATTAATTTTTCTGACTGTTCCATTAAGAGGTAGTTAGAATTTGACTACTATTATTAACTCCAAATGTCTATAAGATATAAAGAATAATGATTGCCTGTTAATAAAACCAGGAAGTCTTCCCGGATTTTTCACATCTTGTGCTAACAGTCCATAAAAATAGAAGATTAACCAAACTCTAGTAAGGAAGCAACTAGAAAAATGAATGTTCCATGTTTTTATTTGACCTATTTCACATATTTTGATATTCCTTTTCAGGTTATGTCCAAGAGGATGATTTGAAAGATGAGGAAGACATAAAAGAGGAGGAAGACGATGATGATGAGAGCAATTCAACGGCTCATCTTCAGGGTAGCAATGACCCAGGAACAGATGAAGAACATGAAACTGGTCCTGATCCAAGAGGAAACTTAAGCTACCAGAATTCCCCAGGGAGTCATATCTCCAATCAGGATGCAGAAAACGAATCCTTGCTCAGTGATGCTAGCGACCAGGTGGCAGACATTAAAAGCCTCTGCTCCAGGGAGGCATCAGACGCCAAAGGCAATATCCATCCCAAACATCCAACGGAAGCACACAGCTGCATGGATAAAATGACAGCTGTCTATGCTAACATCCTTTCAGATTCTTATTGGACAGGTTTGGGACTGGGGCTCAAACTGTCCAGTTCTGATAAGAGGTCATGCGACAATAGAAACGGAGCAAGCAAAAGTGACTTTGATTGGCATCAGGATGCCTTGACCAAAAGCTTGCAGCAGAGTTTACCAGTCCGGCCACTCTCCAAGCCAAACCTTTTCAGCTCAGTCCAGCTGTATAGGCAAAGCAGCAAAATGTGCGGAACTGTATTCACAGGTGCTAGTAGGTTTCGGTGTAGGCAGTGCAGCGCTGCCTATGATACCTTAGTTGAGCTTACTGTCCATATGAACGAAAGTGGCCATTACCAAGATGACAACCATAAAAAAGACAAGCACAGATCTACCAGCTATTCCAAGCCCCGGAAAAGGGCTTTTCAGGACATGGATAAAGAAGATGCTCAGAAAGTTCTGAAATGTATGTTCTGTGGTGACTCTTTTGACTCTCTTCAAGATCTGAGTGTTCATATGATCAAAACAAAACATTACCAAAAAGTGCCTTTGAAGGAGCCGGTACCTACCATATCTTCCAAGATGGTGACTCCAAATAAGAAACGTGTGTTCGACATTAATAGGCCTTGCTCTCCAGATTCGACCACGGGATCTTTTGCTGACACATTCTCTTCTCATAAGAATGCCAACCTGCAGCTATCGTCTAACAATCGTTACGGCTACCAGAACGGTGCCAGCTACACGTGGCAGTTTGAAGCATGCAAATCACAGATTCTCAAGTGCATGGAATGTGGGAGCTCCCATGATACTTTGCAGCAACTCACAACCCACATGATGGTCACGGGTCACTTCCTGAAAGTCACCAGCTCAGCTTCCAAGAAAGGGAAACAACTTGTTTTGGATCCCTTGGCTGTGGAAAAAATGCAGTCGCTTTCTGATGCATCAGCCACTGACAGCCAGCATTCAAAACCCTCCAGTAATTCATCAACTGATTCTACAGCTCCTGCTTCAGAGCTAAAAACGGAAAGTAAGCAAAATAAATCTGAGGAAGCGAACAAAGATGAAAAAGGGGTAAAAAATGAAGAGTACGAAGACGCTCTTCAAAAACCACTGGACCCGACAATGAAATATCAGTATCTCCGGGAGGAAGATTTAGAAGATGCTTCAAAAGGTGGTGGAGACATTTTGAAGTCTTTGGAAAACACTGTCACCACAGCCATCAATAAAGCTCAGAATGGAGCACCCAGCTGGAGTGCGTATCCCAGCATCCATGCAGCATACCAGCTCTCGGAGGGAACAAAGCCTTCCTTACCGGTGGGGTCCCAAGTTTTGCAAGTTCGACCAACAGTCAGTAATAAACTGAGGCCTATTGCTCCAAAATGGAAAGTGATGCCTATAGTACCCATGACAGCCAATATAGTCCAGTGTAGTCAGTTGAAAAAAGAAGGAGACCCCAAGAAGGAAATGCATAAGGACTACATTAAAGATGGCAACAAGACAGACATGGTTCCACCTTATCAGAATGAAGGAGATTCTCCTCCTCAGGCTGAGATGTGTGTAGAGCCCAAAAAGTCAGAGCTAAGTCCTTTGAAGGAGGAACACAAGACAAAGGAAGAGGAGGAAAAAATAAAAACGAAGGATTCTGTGACATCATCTCTCAGCAATGGATGCCCTACTGGGAACCACACTTCAGAGCTGCCTGGTTTAAATCCCCTCAGTGCCCTGCAGTCTGTGCTGAACAACCATCTGGGCAAAGCAAATGAGCCTTTGCGACCTCAGTCAAACTCCAGCCCCAGTTCAAGTTCAACATCTTTGTTCCACAAACCAAATTTAAATATAATAGAGAAGCCTGTTCTGTCTCCTGCCTCAACGCCGGCTAAACCTGCAAATGTTACATCTCGGCGTTACGTGTTTGAGAACAATGATCAGCCAATTGACCTGACAAAATCAAAAAATAAGAAAGGGGAATCTGTTCAGGCCCAGTCTTGTACTTCCCCACCTCAGAAGCATGCTCTGTCTGACATTGCAGACATGGTCAAAGTCCTTCCCAAAGCAACAACCCCGAAACCTGCTGCTTCATCCAGAATCCCATCCATGAAACTGGAAATGGATGTTCGGCGTTTCGAAGATGTCTCTACAGAAGTCTCCACTTTGCATAAAAGAAAAGGAAGGCAGTCCAACTGGAATCCTCAGCATCTCCTGATTCTGCAAGCGCAATTTGCATCCAGTCTCTTCCAAACATCGGAGGGTAAATATTTATTGTCAGATCTGGGCCCTCAAGAACGCATGCAGATTTCCAAGTTTACGGGGTTGTCCATGACTACCATCAGCCATTGGCTGGCAAACGTCAAGTACCAGCTCAGAAAAACTGGGGGGACAAAGTTTTTGAAAAACATGGATAAAGGACACCCCATCTTTTATTGCAGTGACTGTGCATCTCAGTTTAGAACCCCATCGACGTACATCGGCCATTTAGAATCCCATCTAGGTTTCCAAATGAAAGACATGAACAAGCTGGCTGTGGAGCAGCAAACCAAGGTAGAGCAAGACATTTCCAGAATTTCAGTTCAAAGATCTCCTGAAACAATAGCTGGAGAAGAGGACACAGACTCTAAGTTCAAATGTAAGTTGTGCTCTCGGACATTTGTGAGCAAACATGCTGTAAAACTTCATCTAAGCAAAACGCACAGCAAGTCACCAGAACATCATTCACAGTTTGTAGCAGAAGTGGATGAAGAATAACTCCTAAGGTATGCATGCCTTAACTGCAAAAGAAAGGGGAAAAAAAGTGTTTTAATGTGATGTTAATCAAAGGAAGGGCTCTTAAAGCACTTCTGCTTTATTTAAAGAAAACATTACCTTCCAAAATGCCCATTTCTTTTCAGACATTGGCTTCTCTGTCTGTAATTGTTGCATGATGGGACAAATTTTGCATGGACAGCTGCTTCCATCAGCCTGTTTCCATGATGAAAAAAAAAAAAAACTTTACACGTTGCCTTTTTCCCAGGCATGTGCTCTTAAAGGCAAAGAGACCTCTGCCAAGAAAAGATTTGGCACTCTTGCTTGCTGTTGATACCATGTTCCTATTTAGCAAACTTAGCCCTGTAAAGCTTTCAGTAGAAAAAGCAAAGCATGCTGGACATTTCATTCTAATGATTTCCCAATGAAATTGTGTTTGCTTATAGTATTTGAAGCAACTATGTCCCCCTTTGGTCTGAGCACAACAGCAAGAGGCACTACAAACTGATGTTTCAATGTCCGGTTTTCAATAATGGGATTCCCTTGCTTAATTTTAATAACCTTATGAATTCAAGAGCCTTTTGTTCTCATTCCCACCCCTCACTGTTCAATGCTGGTGAAATATCAAGCCTGTTTTGGGGATTGCTGTCTATGGATCAACAGGAATAATCATATCATTCTCCTTTTGGGGACTGGAGGGAGAACGTGAGGATATTAAGAAAGTCCAAACTTCAGTGATAGACATAATATCCTTAGTCCCTGTTATCTCCAGCTGGTGTCTCTCATCAGTTCATAGTTCTTAGAAAGTTATTCTCAACAGGCAAGGCTGAATTGTGTTTGCAAAGCTGTTGCCAGCCTGACAAATTTAAACAAATGTTTTCACCTCCAGATTTCACCAGCCCTTAGGATGATGCTGATTAAATATGCCCCCAATACATTAAAAAAAAAAAGCAATCTATAACTATTAGGCTAAACTCTGAAACATATTTCTTCTTCTCTTTTTCATTTTCTTTTCTTTGAGATCCCTTAATCTAGGATTACGTAACATTTCTGGGCTGGGGGCAAATAGTGATAGCATGTGGTAGCCACATTCACAAAATGGCTGCCACGAGAGATTTGGCCTTTCTGTAAAATGGCTGCTGTGAAAAGGATGGAGAATCCCATGTATCCATTTACTAGAAGGAAATTAGCACTCAATAGGTTCTTGTTGAACCCAAAGGTATTGCTACAAGTAATTGTAATGATAGAGGCTGGTGTTTTGCTTTGCAGCATGTTCATCTTCTATTAAATTTGTTTTGTTAAAGTATTCCTTTTTTAAAAGTGGGGGAGAAATCAAGTGAGATAGGCAGCTTAACAGGGACCAAGAGGTGCAATTGTAGCCATGTCAGTATCTGGAAGTACAGATAGTCCTCAACATACAGCCACAATTGAGCCCAAAATTTCTGTCATTAAGCGAGACATTGTTAAGTGAATTTTGCCCCATTTTACAACTTTTCTTGCCACAGTTGTTAAGTTAGCAATGTTTGTTAAGTGAATCTGGCTTCCCCATTGACTTTGCTAGTCAGAAGGTCTCAAAAAGTGGTCACATGACCCCAGGACACCGCAACAGTCATAAATATGAAGCAGTTGCCAAGCATCTAAATTTTGATCACATAACTTTGGGGATGTTGCAATAGTCATAAGTGTGAAAAACGGTCATAAATCACTTTTTTCAGTACTGTTGTAATTTCGAACGGTCACTAAATGTCCTTTTGTAAGTCGAGGATTACCTGTACACACTGATTATCCTGTTTTAATAGTAAACAATTGGTGCTCAGCTGATTTGAAAAGCAGTATAAGTCTGTAGCCTGGTAAAAAGTACAGAGAAAAGCAACGTGAGTTATTGTATATATTAAAACTGTACAATTTTTCATTTCATCAATTCAAATTAGCAAACATTTTGGGATTCAATGTATGAACTTGATTCGGATTGAATCCAATAATCCAATTTAGATTTGGGGGGTAAAAAAGTTTTCTCCACATGGACAATCAGATTTCTGAATCAAACTGACCCGATTCATCCTTTCAGATTTCAAACTTCATTTGGATTGTTCAGACTGATTCAACGATTCAGATTGGACTGATCGTATTCTTTGAACTGATTTGACAAATCAGAGCAGACCCTATTTGCACAGGCCTAATATTTATTAGGTTTTATAGAACTTTCCTATGTCTGTTGTGCTTTAGCATAAAATAAAAACCAATCAAAAAGAAAACCTTAAAATACTGTAATAATAATAATAAAAAAACCTTGAATGTCAATTTCTCGCATTTTTTGGTATCGTTCTCCAGGGAGAGATGCATATTATTCCCCTTTGTATAATACGTGAAAGCACAAAAAATACAAAACAATATACTTCCTCCTCCTTCACTAAACTGTACAGATAGTCCTCGACTTACGACCATTCGTTTATTGGCCATTTTGAAATTACAAAAGTCCTGAATTACAACTGGTCCTCACACTTATAACCATTGTAGCATCCCCATGGTCATATGGATCAAAATTTGGGCATTGGGCAACTGGCATGTATTTGCAATGTTCTGCAGTGTTCTGGAATCACTTAGCATTCACCACTTTCCCAGGGGGCTTTGAAAAAGAAAAGTTAATAGAGGAAGCTGGATTGCTTACTGACCAGTGCAAAAAAGGACATAAAATTGGGCATGACTTACTTAACAACCGCATTGCTTTGCATTGGAAGTTCCAGTCTCAATTGCAGTCATAAGTCAAGGACTATCTGTAATGTGACCATAGATCCTCCTACTATGGCTTTTGCAGGCTTTGGAAAGAGTGTGAGTTCTCGTCGCTTGACCAGATTCCTAAATGCAACTGAGAACATGAACAAATCATTTATTTGCCTTGCATGTTTGTTTGATGTTTGTCACCTATGCTGCTCTTCACACTCAGGTAGGGGGTGGGGTGGGGGGAATATAGAGGTTTTTCATAATCTTCAATTTGATAGCTGTAATTTTCAGAACTTAAATTCTCTCTGAAGGAAAGCTGAATCTGTCAAGTAGACCAAATTTTATGTTATACACTGAAAGTCTGCATTTCAAAAACCTTGGTTATTTAGTAATTCTTCTAGATAAATATATGGCTTCATAGATCCATTTGTGTAATAATAAATTTCTTTCTCACAGACAAATGCACACAGAAGTCTCCCTCTTTAATTATTTTGCCTGATCTGAATGCCCTTTGAAGCTTCTTTCTTACTTTATAACAGGAAGAAACAAATCAGCATGTTTTTAATAGCAATCTGGAGTGTAAAAACGTGAAAAGTGAGCTCATCTATATATATATATAAGGATGAGCCTCTCTCTGAGGGAGATGGACAATTTAAAAATATTATATAATCCCCTTTTTACAACTCTGTAATCCCTTAATTCAGGGTAGATGGGTGGAGCTAAGCTTTTACTGGCCGGATGCCCTTCCTGATGCCTACAGGGAGTTCACAGCATATATTTACTCTTTGCGCTCTTAAAGAGAAACATCTGCTGCTATCTAGGATTGAACTCTCAACCTTCCAAGTGGGAGGCAAGCATCTTCATCACTAGACCACCACACCGGTCTTTATTCCTACTCTACCGTGAATTAAGGATAACAGGGTCACTTCTATATATGCACCACTTATATATGCATCATTTATCTATGTATAGCTGAGTATCACTTCCATGTATGTATGTTTGTGTGTATGTATGTATAATACATATGCAAGTGATACCCAGCTTTTCCATTCCATGACTTTTTAAAAATAAAAATAATACAATTTTTATAGCCTAATAGATGTTTCAGGTTTCAGTCCTGAAACAGAGAGCAACTAACTTCAGAATATACCACCTACTGCTTAAATACATCTCTCTCTCTCTCATTTATATATGAATAGTGTAATGCACACTTAATAAAGCCTACTTAGTTCCAAAACCCGAGATCTGATGTTTGTAAATTAATTACAAGCAAACCACCTGAATGTTCAAATAGATTCTCGCAGCAAGATTATTTCAAAATAAACTGTACAAAGTTATATGAGATTTAGATGCAGCCACCTAGTAGTAAGCCAGGCTGGGTTTCATGTGCAAATTACTCCCAGGAATATTAGGATTGGAACTCAGTGTCACCAAATGTGTAATTAGCAGCGTTAGGTAAATGTTCTACCAAGGATGCATTTGTTGGGAAATCTTGTTCACAGTATGTGTGTTGGGGATGGGGAAAAGACATTTTTTAAATCTTATTAAATTTCAAAGTTATGAAACGTATTTTGTCTGGATTTAATGTCAAGCATATAAAAGGTCATGTACACTAAAACCAGAAGGTGAAATGCAAAAATTTAGGAACGCTGTTGGGTGAACAAATTTGCTAGCTCATTCATCTTTGTGTCAGTGAATTATCCAATTTATGCACATGAAACAAGGAGAAGAAGACAGAAAGAAGCTACAATACATAGAGTGGGAACAGTCAATGTGTACAAAAACACACTCTACAGCCTCTTCTCAGAACTTTGCTGCTTTGTTTTTGTTTTCTATCCAAAATCCTTGGAAATCACACATTGGTTCTGCACCATTTTTTTTTAAAATGACAATGACACTATTTTTCAAGTTATTCCTGGAAATCTTTGTAGAATCCCAATTGCGGGTATGGGTATCACAGCCCAAGAGTAAAGTTACCACTGATTAGAAAATGGTTTTTCCTGCTCCTACTCTTTTAGAGTTAATCAATATGTAAAGTTCTCACAATATGGACACAAGAATCACTGCTGTTAAATCTTCCTAATAAAAGCATGACAGGAGGTAATAAAAAAAAGTTGGCAACTTCACATGAAATGTAATCCTGCAAGGAGAACTTTCCCCTCCCTAGATGGTATACTCCAATGTGATAAATTCACAGTAGTTTAAAGCAATGAACTGACCAAGAATATCTAATTTATAGGATCAGTTGACCGAAGGTTGTTTTTATGCAGAGATGTGGTGTGGTATTTAGATATTTATCCAATAAAACACAGATATTTGAGAGGGGGAAATGTAAAACATAATAAGAAACATAAATCAAATTCATTTAAACATTTGATTTCTGGATATAGATTTTAGAAGGGTTTTCCTCCATTATATCAAGTTTTTTAAACACGTTAAAATAGGGCCATTATTACTGGTTTACATTTATCATTAAGGTTGCAGTTAATCATAGTAATTTCAGAGCAACTTCATTCCTAACAGGTGATGCTTAAGACTGAAGCTTAATAAAATAGCCCATTTTGTTGTGTATTCAGAAAGAAATACCAGCAAGTTATGCACAGGATCATAAGCATTGAGACTTTATAGAGAGGCTCCATTTTTTAGTGATTTAAATGCAAAATCACAGAATTATGCTTTTGGATAATATATATAAAATATTCCCCCCTCCCAAATAGATGTCTTCATTTCTTAAGTATCAAAATTACCTTCTGAAGACATGGGGAAAAAAAACAATGAAAAAGACGATTCATCAATTTCTGGCATTTCATGTCTACATGTCGTCCCTCGCTTAATATCTTAGCAGGGATAAGTTTAAGTTATATGGAAACTGTAAATTGTAATTTCATTGTGGAATGCTGGGCTGTTTTGAATAAGATTGTGGATTTTATAACTTTCTTTAAGCTAAAGTTCACATTGAAAATTGGAAATAAATAATAGGCAGTTCTGAATTTCTGCTTTGTTTGTTAAAAATGGTATGTTTATCATATAGCTAGAAAAAGAGAAAGAGACAAAGACAAAGACAGAGACAGGGATAGGGATAGAGATAGGGATAGGAATAGGGGGAGATAGAGGATGGATGGATAGATAGATAGATAGATAGATAGATAGATAGATAGATAGATAGATAGATAGATAGATAGATAGATAGATAGATAGATATAGTGTGTGTGTGTGTACACACACACACACACACACACACATATACATACACACAGAGAGAAAGAGACAGAAAGAAATAAACATATACACCTACATATATACATATTAGTAAATATGAAATTTCTTTTCATATTTAGAATGACATTCTAAATTAGATTATTAGCTACATATGAAAACATAGAAAGAAAAGCTAGAAGGAAAAATATAAAAGAAAAAAAAGCAAAAGAAAATTAAAGAAGTGACTGAGTTTGTATTTATTCCATATTCTTAATATGGCATTTCTTACCTAGTGGCTTGTAAAATCTACATTAATGTTAACTTTATCGTACCACAAAAATCCATGCCACCCAAAGGTTATAATTTTCTAATTCTAACATACTCTTATTTCTCAACAGTTCCTACTCTTTCATCCAAACCAAAGATCTTATTTATCTTATATTTAACCCTTGGTTTCTTCCTTTTATGAACTTCATATAAATACAGATACATATTTTTGCCCTTGATTAAAAGGTGTAACATATTTTCGGAACAAGTATTGTTGGAAATACAAATATCATTCTATTTTGACCACCAAAATTCTTCCAAACAATCATAATTATATTTTTTTCTCATCTTAATAAATCTTAATTTCACTCTGTACCTTGACATAATTATTTTGAAATGGCATTCAATGCATATTAGTTATACTGTTATATTGTAACTAACTAAAAAAGTATTTCCCTTCTTTCTCAACATGTAAACCAGTTTTTGCAATCAATTCTTTTAAATCTTCCATCCTCATATTTTTGTTAGCATCTTTTTTATCATTGTTAATTTTAAATCCAGCTAATACAAACAAATTTTTCCAATAATGTGGCTATTCCTTCCATAGGATTTTCTAAAATTAAAACTAAGTCCTCCACAAATGCTCTTAATTTATTAATTTTTTTAACCTTCAGCTATTCTCTCATCTTGTCTTACACCTCTATTCAAAACTTTATGAAGAAAAATGAACAGTAATGGTGAAAGTGGGTGTCTTATTCTTTTCTATATTTTACAGGGTTTTGTCAATTCACCATAATTATAATTTGTGCCATTTGTAAAGTATTATCAATTTTATCCATTTCATAAAAAATTCTTCAAATTCCATATTTTATAAGATTTTTTAAAAAAAATCCAGTTCAAATTTAACTCTGTAGTCCCTTCAACATTCCACACTTAGAATGGAATAGAATAACAGAGTTGGAAGGTACCTTGGAGGTCTTCTAGTCCAACCCCCTGCTTAGGCAGGAAACCCTACACCACTTCAGATAAATGGTTATCCAACATCTTCTTAAAAACTTCCAGTGTTGGAGCACCCACAACCTCTGGAGGCAAGTTATTCCACTGATTAATTGTTCTAACTGTCAGGAAATTTTTCCTTAGTTCTAAGTGGCTTCTCTCCTTGATTAGTTTCTACCCATTGCTTCTTGTCCTGCCCTCAGGTGCTTTGGAGAATAGCTTGGAGTCAAGTTCTTCTTTGGGGTAGCCCCTGAGATATTGGAACACTGCTATCATGTCTCTTCCTAGTCCTTCTTCCACTTCTCCCATGGCCTCTAGTGTTCTATCCGCAAATCAAGCAATGGTTCCCACCTACCCCCAATGTCCTGTGAGTTTACTATGCCTTCTGAAGCATAAGTGGGAAATCTCACATTTTCTCATTTGGAGAAATTCTGCTGGTCTGCACTCACCACCCAACTGCCAGTTTTTGCTTTGACATCATCCCTGTTATTCAAGAATGTGTTAATCCACCATTTTCTCCACATGGAAATCCAATAAACGTACCATTTCTACTAGAGCCAATTTGGTTTAGTGATTAAGGTACCAGGCTAGAAACCAGAGGATAGTGAGCTTTAGTTCCACCTTAGGCACGAAGTCAGCTGATTGTCCTTGGGCCAATTCCCCTTTCTCAGTCCTTTGAAGAAGAAGACAAGGGAACTTGTCTTCTATTTCTGTAATCTTCCCAAGAAAACTCAGGGACTATCCAGGCAGTTGCCAGGACTCAACACTGTATTATACGTACACATACCAAATAACTAAATAACTCCTATCTTTTAGTAAATTTAAGTTTCTTTGCAAAAAGTAACAAAATATGCTGGCAACCATTCTAATTACAAACCTTTTTGTTTCAAGGACACTCATTTTGTGGCAGAATCACAATTAACAAGTTCATCTTGAGTAAACCTAAGACATTTAAAAGCATATAGTATTCTGTTTTTAATTTTAAAATACTTTTAACAGCACATTTGAGATTCTGAAAATAAACGTTTTAAAGCATATTTGAAAACTTACTCTCAAAAGTTAATATGGCCAAATTTGCACTTTTCTAAAGATACGGTGAAACCGTCTTAAGATAATGCCAGATAAGTTTTCTTTTCTCAGAGGTATTTCCATTGTCCAATGCAGTAATAATTTATTCTTACTTTTAACTAGCCCAAGTTTGGTGAGAATATATTTTTCAGTCCAGAAATCTCTAAACATCAGAATGAGGGATAATATAATGAATTCCTTTTAGTGTTCAATTGTTTATAATGAATTCATTGTAGCGTTCAATTGTTTAGTATTTAAATGTATTTTTCTCTCAATCTAATTGACAAGAATTCATCTTTGTGATAAAAATATATATATGCATACCAGAAGACTCAATATTTTAACCGTAATTTACTATTGTTTGAGTCTGAATATGGCAGAAATACCAAATCTGATAGTTGCCTAGACCCATTTTTTTAAAAAAAAACAAAAACAAAAAAAACCCCTATATTGTGAAATGTGTAGAGCTAGTCAAAAGCAATTTTTCAGGAGTAAAATGTAGCTTGAAAGTTGAATTTGCAGAGAGAAAGAAACTTTTTGAAAATCTTGGCAAACTTCAAAAGGGCAAAAATACCAGTTGTGTAGTGCAGGCATTGGTGGATAGTTGTCATCATACTTTGATTCTGTATTGTTGTTGTTTTTTTAAATTTGATCCACGATGGCTTTCTTTTTCTGCATTCTTATAATTTAATAACTGTCAATCCAGATATTATTCGCATTTATAAGTATGAGGACTTAAGTCTGCTTCAAAAATGAGAATCTCTGACCAGGAAAACCCTTCATGTCAGTGAATTCCAACTATATTATTCAAATCTGACCTTTCTAGTGACCGGGCATGCTTTGCATATGCTCTCTCATACTCTTATTTCCTATACTGTAGCTAAGACCAACCATTCAAAACAAAGATTCTGAAGCTGAATACTAATGCAGATTCTGCACTGTTCAAAGCCAAGTATTTTTCCTAAAGCTTTCTTTTGGTAAGTAAACAGGCAGCTCTCTGAAAAGAATCCATTTGAAAATACAGATACCACAAAAGAAAG